ACAAGTCCGAATCAGGTGTTCTTAGAGGCATTTTAAAGCTACTTCAGAACACTACAACTTTCATGTTTTGGCCCAGAGCTAAATCAGAATGGATCCTGGTCAAAAAACGTGATAAACTGGACTTAACTGGTGAAACGAACTGCTGGGAAATACTTAGAACAGTAAGGGTATTTTGGACTTTTCACGTCCTACGTTGCTCCGATTGAGCTGAAATTTTGTAGGATTATATAAAATGCCATTCTCTACAACTTTTATTCTTTGAGCTAAGGCCAAATCAGCCTCTAACATACAGATACAAATTCGGACAGAAAGTTGGGAAAATTTTCCAGATTTTGGAATTTTGAGTTTCTAGTGCAACTTTCCTTAATTTCTTGGTCTAATCACTACCACAACACCTTATAAAACTTCAATTGCAACATATAAGCATCTTACAACAATTTGGGCAGAATTCCCACAAGCCCTAGTTCATCAAATAAATTGGGTAAAAACCTCTAAAACATGATAATCATCCATAATCTCACCACAAGATCAAGTTGCCAAGCTTAATTGAACAAAATTGAAAGCAAAACTTGGAGAGATAAGCTCTCTTACCTTGACTAGAAGTCACTACAAGTAGCCCAAGCTTTCTCTTTCAAAAATCACACCACAAGCCACTAGCTAATCACTCAAGGACAAGTTTAATCGGTTTACTTTGTTTATTTTCTCACTAAGTTGTTGGATTTGAAGATGAAATGAAGAAATTTCTCTCTTGTTCTTCCCCTCTCTCTCTCTCGGATCCTTGGCAGAAATATGAAGAGAAATGGAGCTTAGTTGCCTTATAATAAAGCAAGAGGATTAGGACTAATGGTGTCCACAAATTGGGCAAACACTTGGACTAATCTTGGCCACAAAATTTTTCTCTTTCTTCCCTTGCCTTTGAGCCACAATTTTCGGTCAACCTTGCTGTAATTTAAGAAGATATTATGTACAAAAGTCAACAAACTTGTTGGGTAAGAAAAATGGTGGTCAAGCAGTGCGTTCAATCGGTAATGCGCGGGACCCGCCGAATCGCGCCGTTTTTCTTAAAACTCACGTACTAGGGTTTTTACTTCCCATTCACTAACCTTATATCATTGCCACTAGTCACATATTATTTCTCACTTAAAAGTCACTTTTAATCCCCAAATTTAATCCTTACTCTGTACCGAAAATTCATCCGGCGAAAAATCGCGAAAACCCTAACTTTGCTCCAAACTTGAAACCGAAGTGTAAAACCCTATTTTCTAGGTTTATTTACACTTATGTGAAATAATTGGGTAGTGGGATTTGATAAATAATAATTTTCAAATAAAAGGGTATTTTAGTCCTTATCGGAAAGTCTTAAAGAGCTGGCTCTTTAAGCTGTTTATGCGGACCGAATTTCTTCCAGATTTATGTGGGCCGGATTCCTCACAAAACTCTATTCACCAGAAATTTTTCCTTTTCTTCTGCCTCGGGGCGTTACAGAATTGGCCTTAGATCAAAGACTAAAAGTTGTATAGAATGGTATTTTATAGGTGCCTACAAAATTTCAGCTCAATCGGAGCAACGTAGGTCGTGAAAGGTCCAAAATACCCTTACTATTTTAAGTTTTTCCCCAGCAGTCCGTGTGATCAGTTTGTCCAGTTTATCACGTTTTTTACTAGGATCCGTACTGATTTAGCTTTTTTCCAAAACATGAAAGTTGTAGTATTCTGACTTAGCTTTCAAATGCCTCTAAGAACACCTGAATTGGACTTTTGTAGCCTGAGATATGTCCATTACAGTGTAATGCGGTTAAGTAGCTGACAAATTGGATTTTGGTTCTGTAATTTGAGGATTTGACTAAGTTACATTAGGAACTGGACTAAGTGACCTTCATGAACATTGTAGCCCTGTGTCTAAGCTTCGAAACGGAATAGGTTACGCCTCAATCCGATAAGCGTAGCTTCGGATATGTTATTTCCGCATCCATACGTCGAATCTGTCTTTTGCTGAATTGAATTTCTGCACTTGTTATGATTGTGATTCTTGTTTTTATGATATTGTGAGCCTATGGAACGGCTTTTGACTTGAATTTCTGATATGTGTGATGTTGGATTTTGGTTGAGGAAAAATAATGAAGCCTAAATGGCTGGAAAATTAGGTAAACACAAAGGGCATGCTGCCCGAATTTTTACTCGAGGACTAGAAAACTATATTAGCGACTTGAGTAAAGGTTAAGTGATTATCACTTGAACTAGCGAGGACCTTTGCCACTTTGTTTTTCGAGGGTTATACGTTAAGACTTGGCCGAACTTGTACCCTTGAGGAAAAGACATAATGGCCAATGTAAACTTGTATTTCCTTGCACTTTCAACTCAAGTGTTATTTCCAAGCATCTATGCTACAAAACCTTACGATTTGAAAAGCGAGCAAGTGTTTCACGAGTGTCTTTCAAATGAATTTCAATTGGTCAATTCTTAATGAACGGGACGTTTAAGTTTCGAATCCTACTCGTGTTTCAAAGTTCTCAAACTGAATTGTTATCGCAGATCTGGACTCCAAGCCTGGAGTGTAATTGAACGTGAATACTTGAGGCACTATCTTTTGGTGAGTGCTTCCAAATATCCGATTGTACTTGATACATGTGTTCCTTACTTGACTTGTGTGATTACATGAAAATGAATGATAGGGCAAGGGTGTACTTTACCGCACTTGCCCTAATATGACTTGTTCTTGCTAGTAATTATACTTGACTTGCTTTACATGTACTTGAGATATGTCTTGCCTGGAATTCCAGAAACCCTGTGGCTAGTTAATCGAGTCGAGCCGGCAAGGGCCTGGTCGATTAGATAACGAACCCTGGGTCACTAGTTAAGTCGAGTGGAGTGTTATCTCCTCGGCGATCCGGTATACTCGAGTATTACCACCCGTGTTTCGTGTGGCGTGCGGGCCCGGAATAGGGGGTTGATCGGTGAATGGGGATTGACGTGTAGTGGAGTTTTATTTTGGACTTGTTATTACTTGAAAGTTGACGGAGTGTCAACTACCCATTGATCAAGCTGGAATGGAGCCGAGATACGATTACCGTATCCTTATATATGACTGCAAACTTGATATTACTTGGCTAGTTGAAGTACTATTTCCCTGATTTGACTTGTTTGCTCGCTATTTCACTATTACTATGTTATTCCTTGCTTTGTTGGCCAATTTGATATTTGGAACTTCACTGAGCTTCGGCTCACCCTATTAGTTTTGTTTTCCTTACAGGGGTACGAGCGAAGCGTGAGAAGTATAAAGGCTAGCGTAGTCTAGTTACTTTGGACTTTGTTTTGAATTTTGGTCTTGTACTCGCGCTATTCCTCGAATGGAACCTTTTGTACTTGGACTGTATACGTTTTGAACTAGTTTAAGTATATCGAGACTTTGTACCTTGATTTCTATCAATGTAAATTATAAGCTTGAATTGGGAACGTTATTTAGAGTTCATGGTTGTGTGCACGTGATTCGAGTGAGTGAGTCCTGGCGAGAGCTGGGCAGGCGGTCCGCCGAACCCTCTGGTACGCGTTAGGGGGAGGTGGGGTCGTCACAGGTGGTATCAGAGCCTAGGTTATGAATTGATCTAGGTAGATTGAGTGCTTGATACGATAGGCTAGGGTTTTATCCTTGAGCTTAGCCTTTAGCCTTGTTTTGTACGTGTTGCGTACTTACTTTTACAATGTTATTTGCAAACTTAGGTGATGGCAGATGCTGACGCTTCTGGGGGTGCGGGGCCGTCTCAGCCCGTACCTACTGAGATACCTTCTGACGCTCCTGCTGGCGAGCCCTATCTGGAGGGGCTCGTCTCTCGCGTGATCACATACTAGGATGTTCCCGGTGGGCCGGTACAGCGGTGGTCCCCAGCGCGCAAGATCCGACGCTGCGATTGCTGGAAGACGTACTCCTATCCTGACCGAGTGGTGCTCGCAGTGGATGACGAGCGGAGATGATTGGGTAGCACCAATCGTAGGTGCTATATAGAGATAGAGCGTCTTCGAGCTACCCTTCGCGACCAGGGAGTCCGGATCCGAGAGTTGGAGGCCTCGGTTCTGGAGGAGCAGCAGCGGACCGATGCTTTTCGCGAGCAGGCTCAGACGGCGACCGGACGTCTGATGCGAGTAGTTGGAGATATACGAGATCGGACTGGCCATATTCTGACCGAGTGTGAGGCTTTAGTGGACGATGTGCTCCAGGACTTGGCCGGAGAGGGCCAAGTGCCTGTAGCTCCTGGCGTTCCCGGTGCTCCTGAGGAGGATCCAAAGGAGGACCCGGAGGAGGAGCAGAGTGCGTCCTCGGAGTCAGTTGGGTCGGCGTCTAGCCAGACCACTTGTTAGGATCGGGGTTTGAGGAGTTTTTGTGGGATAGTTAGGAACATAGTAGGACGACACGTCTCCTTTTGTTTTTGCTTTTGACATGTCTTGGTGGATGTAAATATCTTTTGTTCTATGTTCCTTGGCTGTGATAGCCTCTGACTATGTGACTTGTTGGCCTGTACATATGACTTGTTTGTTATGTAAATAAAGTGCTTGTTTCTTACGTGTTCGTTTGCCTCTAGTTATATTGTCGCAACGCGATATATGAGTCGTACCTTACCCTGTTTATATGTTTCTAGTTGGTTAACTCCCAACATGGAAGATAAGAGAAGTCGGACCAAGAAAGCTAACCGAGAACGCAGTTCTAGGCGAGGTCGTGAGGGTGAACAAGCACAGGAAATGGTGCCAGAATCGAGAGAGGAGAGGGAGGCAGCGGTGGAGCAGCAACCTGAAACCCAGACTGCCGGGGGAGATCAGGTGGCCACTGCCATCTAACAGATGACTAAAATTTTGGCTCGGTTAGTGGAGCAACAGGGTCAAGCCCCTGTAAATCAACCTAGGGACCCCGATTTGGGGCAGGATAGAGCCTTGGAGAGATTCCAGAAGTTCTCTCCACCCAAATTCTTAGGAGGGCCAGACCCGTATGAGGCTGAGAAATGGCTGGAGGCCATGATAAATATTTTTACTGCCCTGAACTATACAGAGGAGAGGCAGGTTCAATTTGTTGTGTTCCAGTTTGAGGGGCCAGCTAGGGCCTGGTGGAATGTAGTAAGGGCTAAATGGGAGAGAGAAGGAACTGCTTGGACTTGGCTAAATTTTGTACGAGATTTTAACGAGAAATATCTTCCTTCTATCGTCCAAGAGAAGCGAGAGGACGATTTCATTAAACTTCGTCAAGGAATGATGAGTGTAACTGAGTATGAGACTCAGTTTACGAAATTGTCAAAATTTGCCCCTGAGCTGATTGCTACGGAACCAAGGAAAGTGCGGAGATTTGTGCAAGGGTTAAATGTGGAATTACAAGAAGCCTTAGCGGCAGCTCAGATCAATACGTTTACGGAGGTCTTGGAAAAGGCCCAAAGGATAGAAACTGCTAGGACACACGTGAGGAATTTCCACGCCAAACGAAAAGGGGGATCTAGTGGAGCCCAAGGGTCTGTGCGGAGTGATCAAAACGCACCACCTGCCAAGTCTGGTCATGGGGCTGGAGGTGGACGGTTTTCGAGTGCGTCTAGGGGAGACGCTCCGCGAGGAGGTACTCAGAGGGGAGGTGCCCAGAGGGGAGGTCAAGGTGGTAGAGGACAAGGTACAGGAATTCCGCAGGGTGGTCAGACCTCTACTTCCCGAGTGACGTGTGGGTATTGTGGGAAACCGAACCATACTGAAGATGAATGTTGGAGAAAGGCTCGGAAGTGCCTAAGGTGTGGAAGTACGGAGCACCAGATAGTCAACTGTCCGTTGATCAGTGATACCCAGTCGACTGCCAGGTCAAACCCAAAGCCGACCAATGCTGGAGGGGCTAGGTCGAGGGTTCCGGCTAGAGTATATTCACTGGACCAACAATCCGTGCCTGGACCAACAGAGGTGGTAGAAGGTACGATCCCTGTTTTTCACCAGTTAGCCAGAATTTTGATAGACCCCGGTGCTACTCACTCTTTTGTTGATCCTGCATTTATGCTTCGAATTGATTTGAAAGTTGAAAAGTTACCTTATGACTTAGAGGTAAGAACACCTACGGGTAATCAAATCTTGCTGGCAAATGAGGTGTATAAGAATTGTGATATTTGGGTTGGTGAACGAAAATTGGTAGTGGATCTCATTAGTCTAGCCATTAAAGGGTACGATGTTATCCTAGGTATGGATTGGCTAGCCCATTATCATGCTCGGGTAGATTGTAAGATGAAAGTGGTTGAATTTTGTATACCGGGAGAGGCAACTCTAAAGCTTGATGTGAGGGGTATGATAGCCTCTTCTGCACTTATTTCGGGTATAAGGGCTAGGAAATTGCTTAGTTGTGGGGCACGTGGTTATCTAGCTTTTCTAATTAACACTCCAGGAGAAAAGATTAAGTTGGAAGACATGCCAGTAATCAGTGAATTCTCGGATGTATTTCCGGAAGAGTTGGAGTCTCTGCCGCCCGAAAGGGAGATTGAATTTAAGGTTGATTTAGTACCCGGAACCACTCCCATCTCTAAAACTCCTTATCGTATGGCACCTGCTGAGCTTAAGGAGTTGAAGGTGCAATTGCAGGACTTGCTAGAACGAGGGTTTATTCATGAGAGCGAGTCCCCGTGGGGAGCTCCAGTGTTATTTGTTAAGAAGAAGGACGGGAGTTTAAGGTTGTGCATTGACTACCGAGGATTGAATGCAGTAACCATTAAGAATAAATATCCTTTGCCCCACATCGATGAGTTGTTTGATCAGTTACAAGGGGCTGTAGTGTTTTCTAAGTTGGATCTGCGACAAGGGTACTATCAGTTGAAAATTAGAAAGGAGGATGTGCCAAAAACGGCATTCAACACTCGATATGGGCATTTTGAGTTCGCAGTGATGCCTTTTGGTTTAACCAATGCCCCAGCGGCATTCATGGATCTGATGCATCGAGTGTTCAAACCTTATTTGGATAGGTTTGTAGTGGTGTTCATTGATGATATCTTAGTGTATTCAAGGTCAAGGGAGGAGCATGAACAACATTTGCGGATAGTACTACAAACCCTAAGAGAGCACCAACTGTTCGCTAAGTTCAGTAAGTGTGAATTTTGGTTGGAAAGTGTGGCGTTTCTAGGTCACATAATTTCAAAAGATGGCCTTGCTGTAGACCCGGCGAAGGTGGAAGCTGTGGCTAAATGGAAGCGGCCAGAAAATCCTACAGAGGTTCGAAGTTTTCTAGGCTTAGTAGGGTACTACCGCAGATTTATAAAGAATTTCTCGAGAATTGCAGGACCCTTGACTAACTTGACTAAGAAACAGGGAAAGTATATTTGGGATGTTAAGTGTGAAAGTAGTTTCCAAGAGCTTAAGAAACAATTAACTGTGGCTCCAGTTTTAGCTTTGCCCAGTGGGAGTGATAGTTATACGGTTTATACCGATGCATCGAAAGAAGGGCTAGGATGTGTGTTGATGCAGAATAGGAATGTGATTGCTTATGCTTCTCGAAAATTAAAACCTCATGAGCAGAATTATCCGACCCATCATTTGGAGCTTGCAGCGGTAGTATTCGCTTTGAAGAAATGGCGACATTATCTTTATGGTGTAACTTTCGAGGTTTTACGGATCATAAGAGCCTTAAGTATCTATTTTCTCAGAAAGAGTTAAATCTAAGACAACGTCGGTGGGTAGAGTTCTTAGAGGATTATGACTGTACAATTAACTACCATCCTGGAAAGGCCAACGTTGTAGCAGATGCTTTAAGCCGGAAAACTCAACTAGCAAGTTCCTTAGTGAGAGAGTGGAGCCTGTTGGAGGATGTCTGTGAGTGGAAACCTCATTTGAAACCGAAGAGGGTTATTTTTGGAAATATTGAGGTGAAGTCGGCATTGATGGAACGAATCAAAGAGGGCCAAGTAAAGGACCCAATGGTACAAAAGTGGGTAGAAAAGGTGGAAAAAGGGGAGTTACCCAATTTCAATCTAAGTCCTGATAGAATCTTAAAGTTTCGAATTCGTGTCGTGGTACCTAGGGATGAGGAATTGAAAAGGGAGATTTTGGAGGAATCACATTGCTCTAGGTATACGGTGCACCCAGGGAATAATAAGATGTACCGAGATCTTAGAAGTCTGTATTGGTGGGAGAATATGAAGGCGGAGATTGCCTAGTTTGTGCAAAAATGTCTTACGTGCCAACAAGTAAAAGCTGAGCATCAAAAGCCGTCAGGTTTGTTACAGCCTTTAGAAATCCCTAAATGGAAATGGGAGAACATAACGATGGATTTTGTGTCAGGATTGCCACGAACACAAAAGGGGCATGATGCAATTTGGGTAATAGTGGATAGATTAACTAAGACTGCACATTTTCTGCCAGTGAATATGAAATATCCTTTGGAGAAACTTGCCAAACTTTATATGGATGAGGTAGTAAGACTACATGGGGTACCAGTGAGTATTGTATCGGATAGAAACCCCAGGTTTGTATCCCGATTTTGGCAGAAATTACAAGAGGCTTTAGGGACTAAGTTGAGCTATAGTACAGCGTATCATCCGCAAACTGATGGACAATCTGAGAGAACCATCCAAACTCTTGAGGATATGCTGAGAGCCTGTATTGTGGATTTTAGAGGAAGTTGGAGCCAATACTTAACTTTGGTTGAGTTCGCGTATAACAATAGTTATCATTCCTCTATTCAAATGGCTCCATATGAAGCATTGTATGGACGTAGATGTCGATCTCCAATCCATTGGGAGGAAGTAGGAGAGAGAAAAATTATAGATCCGACCACAATACCATGGGTTGAGGAAGCGTATGAGAAAGTAAAAGTGATTCGCCAGAGGCTTCAAACAGCCCAAAGCCGTCAGAAAAGCTATGCCGATCATAGGAGAAAAGACTTGGAATTTGAAATAGGGGATAAGGTGTTTCTTCGGATTACACCATTAAAAGGAAAGATCAGAGCAGGAAAAGGGAAAAAGTTGCAACCACGATATATAGGACCTTTCAATGTACTTCAGCGAATAGGAAAAGTGGCTTATCGACTTGAGCTACCAGCTAGTTTGTCTAGGATCCATGACGTTTTCCATGTTTCTTTGCTTAAGAAATATCATCCGGATCCAACTCACATTTTGCCACCTGAAGATGTTGAACTTGACGAGTCCCTAACCTATGAAGAACGACCTATTCAAATACTGGATCGGAAGGTGAATGACCTGAGAACCAAGCAGATTTCTTTAGTAAAGGTTCTATGGAAGCATCATGAAGTGGAAGAAGCAACTTGGGAGTTAGAAAAGGACATGCAAGAGAAATATCCCGACCTGTTCACGACCAAAGGTATGAATTTCGAGGTCGAAATTCTTTTAAGGGGGAGAGAGTGTGAGGACTCGCAAATTTCTTGTATTTTTCTCAAAAATACCGTTTTATTTGAAAATTATTATTTATCAAAGCCCACTACCCAATTATTTCACACTAAGTGTAAATAAACCTAGAAAATAGGGTATTACGCTTCGGTTTCAAGTTTGGAGCAAAATTAGGGTTTTCGCGATTTTTCGCCGGATGAATTTTCGGTACAGAGTGAGGATTAAATTTAGAGATTAAAAGTGACTTTTAAGTGAGAAATAATATGTGACTAGTGGCAATGATATAAGGTTAGTGAATGGGAAGTAAAAACCCTAGTACGTGAGTTTTTAAGAAAAAACGGCGCGAACCGGCGGGTCCCGCGCACTACCGATTGAACGCACCACTTGACCACCATTTTTCTTACCAAACAAGCTTATTGACTTTTGCACAAATTATCTTCTTCATTCTCAGCAAGGTTTACCGAAATTGAGGCTAGAAAATAGCAAGAAAGAAAGAGAAAAAAAGAAAGGTGGTGGTGGCGACACTTGTCGCCACCTTAAGGCTTCTTGACCAAGACTTAGTCTTTCCATTTAACACCAAAAATTCAGCATTTTCCTCTTCATTTGCTGCTGCTGGCCGAGAGGAGCAAGAAAGAAAAACACCAAGGGAAAACACTCCATTTCTTCTTGAATCCAACTACTAAGTGAGGAATCAAACGAAATAAACCGATTAAACTTACCTTTGAGTGTTTAGTTAGTGATTTGTGGTGAGATTTTGGAAAGAGAAAGCTTGGGCTACACTTGGTGAACTCTAATCAAGGTAAGGAAGATGATCTCTCTAAATTTTACTTTCAATCTTGTTAAATTAAGCTTAGTAACTTGATTTTGTGGTGGAATCATGGATGTTATCATGTTTTGGAAGTTTTCCCCTTTTTATATGATGAACTAGGGCTTGAGGAATTTCTGCCCAATTTGATGTATGATGTATATATGTTGAAATTAATTTTATACAAGAGGTTTTGGTAGTGATTGGAGTGAGAAATTGAGGAAGGTTGCATGAAAAATTGGAAATTCCAGAATTCTGGAAAATTGTTCTTCCTTTCTGTCCGGTTTTGTATCTGTATGTTAGAGGCCGAATTGGCCTTAGGTAAAAGAACAAAAGTTGTATAGAATGGTATTTTATAGGTGCCTACAAAATTTCAGCTCAATCGGATCAACGTAGGTCGTGAAAAGTCCAAAATACCCTTACTGTGTTAAGTTTTTCCCCAGCAGTCCGTGTGATCAGTTTGTCCAGTTTATCACGTTTTTTACTAGGATCTGTACTGATTTAGCTACTTGCCAAAACATGAACGTTGTATTATTCTGACTTAGCTTTCAAATGCCTCTAAGAACACCTGAATTGGACTTTTGTAGCCTGAGATATGTCCATTACAGTGTAATACGGTTAAGTAGCCGACAAATTGGATTTTGGTTCTGTAATTTGAGGATTTGACTAAGTTACATTAGGAACTCGACTAAGTGACCTTCATGAACATTGTAGCCCTGTGTCTAAGCTTCGAAACGGAATAGGTTACGCCTCAATCCGATAAGCGTAGCTTTGGATATGTTATTTCCGCATCCATACGTCGAATCTGTCTTTTGCTGAATTGAATTTCTGCACTTGTTATGATTGTGATTCTTGTTTTTATGATATTGTGAGCCTATGGAACGGCTTTTGACTTGAATTTCTGATATGTGTGATGTTGGGTTTTGGTTGAGGAAAAATAATGAAGCCTAAATGGCTGGAAAATTAGGTAAACACAAAGGGCATGCTGCCCGAATTTTTACTCGAGGACTAGAAAACTATATTAGCGACTTGAGTAAAGGTTAAGTGATTATCACTTGAACTAGCGAGGACCTTTGCCACTTTGTTTTTCGAGGGTTATACGTTAAGACTTGGCCGAACTTGTACCCTTGAGGAAAAGACATAATGGCCAATGTAAACTTGTATTTCCTTGCACTTTCAACTCAAGTGTTATTTCCAAGCATCTATGCTACAAAACCTTACGATTTGAAAAGCGAGCAAGTGTTTCACGAGTGTCTTTCAAATGAATTTCAATTGGTCGATTCTTAATGAACGGGACGTTTAAGTTTCGAATCCTACTCGTGTTTCAAAGTTCTCAAACTGAATTGTTATCGCAGATCTGGACTCCAAGCCTGGAGTGTAATTGAACGTGAATACTTGAGGCACTATCTTTTGGTGAGTGCTTCCAAATATCCGATTGTACTTGATACATGTGTTCCTTACTTGACTTGTGTGATTACATGAAAATGAATGATAGGGCAAGGGTGTACCGCACTTGCCCTAATATGACTTGTTCTTGCTAGTAATTATACTTGACTTGCTTTACATGTACTTGAGATATGTCTTGCCTGGAATTCCAGAAACCCTGTGGCTAGTTAATTGAGTCGAGCCGGCAAGGGCCTGGTCGATTAGATAACGAACCCTGGGTCACTAGTTAAGTCGAGTGGAGTGTTATCTCCTCGGCGATCCGGTATACTCGAGTATTACCACCAATGTTTCGTGTGGCGTGCGGGCCCGGAATAGGGGGTTGATCGGTGAATGGGGATTGGCGTGTAGTGAAGTTTTATTTTGGACTTGTTATTACTTGAAAGTTGACGGAGTGTCAACTACCCATTGATCAAGCTGGAATGGAGCCGAGATATGATTACCGTATCCTTATATATGACTGCAAACTTGATATTACTTGGCTAGTTGAAGTACTATTTCCCTGATTTGACTTGTTTGCTCGCTATTTCACTATTACTATGTTATTCCTTGCTTTGTTGGCCAATTTGATATTTGGAACTTCACTGAGATTCGGCTCACCCTATTAGTTTTGTTTTCCTTACAGGGGTACGAGCGAAGCGTGAGAAGTATAAAGGCTAGCGTAGTCTAGTTACTTTAGACTTTGTTTTGAATTTTGGTCTTGTACTCGCGCTATTCCTCGAATGGAACCTTTTGTACTTGGACTGTATACGTTTTGAACTAGTTTGAGTATATCGAGACTTTGTACCTTGATTTCTATCAATGTAAATTATAAGCTTGAATTGGGAACGTTATTTAGAGTTCATGGTTGTGTGCACGTGATTCGAGTGAGTGAGTCCTGGCGAGAGCTGGGCAGGCGGTCCGCCGAACCCTCTGGTACGCCTTAGGGGGAGGTGGGGTCGTCACAGCCGGCCCTCTCTTGCTCTCTTTCTCTCTCTCTTACTCCAAGCACAAGGAAGAAAACACTTCAATCTTGTTCCAAATCACCAAAACCAACCATCCAACCTTGATTTTGCTCCATAAAACCACTTAAGGAAGTGTTGGTGAGTTGTTGTGTGAAGTTTTTTGGAAAGTTAAGGTGACCAATAGCTCTCTCTCTCTTGTTTCTAAGGTAAGTTGTGAAGAACCACCCTCCTCCTTTAATTGATACTTAAATCATGTTTAGTGGTAGTATGAGATGCAAGTTTATGGATTATTTCTTGATTTGTGGTTGAAATGATGAAGTTTTATTATTTTTGGGGATTTTTCTGTTTTAATATAAGCATGATTGTGTGGCTATCTATGATGATTAGAAATGGTATATAATGACCCTAGGAGCTGGACAAAGTGATTAATTGCAACCAATTTCTGGTTTGGAAGAAATTTCAGAAAATTAGGGTTCTTGAGGGAGCATTCTGCCCGAATTTTTAGGTCCTAGTTAGAGGCCGAATTGGCCTTGGTTTAAAACATGAAAGTTGTAGGCAATGACATTTTAGCGGTGCCTACAAAATTTCAGGTCAATCCTAGTAGTGTAGAATGAGATAAG